GCTTCACCAACCTGAGCTAGATGATCGGATTTTATGGTATGTTGTGCAAGTGAGATTACAGAAAAATGACAATACCTGCATTGGGTTGAGGTTATCCCAAGGGAGTTTTCCAGTGGCGAGTTCCCATAGTATCACCCCGAAACTGTATAGATCAGACCTAAATGCACATCCAAAGAAGGATTGATATCATTAAAATATTCAGGAATCTGCCTAAAAATGCATGTATCTCATAGTTGACATACTTCTCATTTGAAGGTTCACTTCGAAGAACTTCTGGAGCCATCCATTGAGGCTGCAGGGGAATTTAGGTAGAAAATGATATAAGTCAGCAGAAGTTCAAACAACATAGGTGAATTAAAAGAGCTCTTACTACCACAGTAAGGAAGAGATTTGAGTTCAAGCTGATACCGTTCCTTTACCCGTCTTTGTTGCTAGAAACGTTTCATATTTAAGACGTGATAGACCAAAGTCCCCAACCTATTAATAGTTTCACGGTGAGATTCTCTTTTTCCACATACTAAAACCTCTTTAGTAATAGACATTAAGGAGATTGGTGAGAAAGAGAAACGATGACAGTCAGATGAACTGAAGCCAGACCTTAACAGTCCAGTTCTTGTCCACAAGAAGATTTGATGACTTCAAGTCTCGATGAACAATAGGTGGGTTATGATGATGAAGATAATTCATGCCACGAGCCTGAAAAAGGCAGCAAAAGTGAACATGAGTGTCAACCTAAAAGAATAACCCTAGTAGCTCCAAATATCTGAGATAAATATTATAATACTAACAGAAAGAATTTGATGATCAGCCACACATGAAGGAGGAAATACAAAAATGATGCTACTCATGGTAATATTTAATATAACTGGTGGTACCGGTGGAATTGTCGAGGGGCACTCAAGCTGGCCTGATATATATATATATATATATATATAAAGTAACTGGTAATCCAAATCTTATAGGAACTTACAATGTCTAAAGCCATGTGGATCCGTCGTCTCCATTCTAATTTGGATGAATACTTCTGTAATAGCCTGAACAAACTTCCCCTGCAATAGTGGAAAAGGTGAAATGGTTTATCAGTTACACACGAAAAAATGCTGATACAGTCACAAAGAATAAAACCAAATAAATTGTCACACAGAAGGGGAAAAGAGGAACAAGTTATTCAGCATAAAGAAGGTAGACAATTTACCGTGGCAGGAACTCTGTGACAATGCAGAGGCGTTGAGGTGAAGTTACTGCACCCATGAAAAGAAGAACATTTGGATGTCGAAGACGTTTCATAAGGGACACCTACAAAAAATAAGCATAAAGCCTGTCAGAGATGCTTCTGGATTTAGCATAACCTTACTTGAATTGGAGAGGAAAAGCATTAAACTTAAGTCTCCATGCACTAGTATCAGGCAAATAACATTTTCCAATGTATACTATGAATGAGTTGTAATGTCGTAGAACTATTTTCTTTGGCCTTTAAATCTATAAAATCAGATAGCATCTGAGTTGGAAAATAAAAGGAGGAACTCCAAGTGGAAGTTGATCGAAATTAATAGAATACTATAGATAGATTCAGAACCATGGATGTCCGATTTACAATTTTGCAGACAACCAAGACTCAGCAAGAGAAGAACTGGAAGACAGATAGCTCTGAGTCTTTGTTCCTTGTTTAAGTGCATTTATTAAATAATTTACCACTTATTTATGTTTTTCTCTTGTTGAGAATTTTAATTTCAACTAGTACCTTATCATATTTGGTTAATATTTTCATGGATTCTATTGTTATAGTCTCTAATGAACTGAGAAGTGGTATTTTTGTTTTAGACAAACTTAATACTCATCATTTGCAAATTACTTTTCGCATTGATGCTGCATTAACTGGGATTGATTACAATAAGAAGTTCAAATTTTCAAGAAATCACACTGACAAAGAGCATAAAAAGCTCCATTTTAGTGATCAGTGAGTATAATCCAGCTTTGTCCTTCTCTCCAACAATTCAAAGCATATAATTTGTAGCAAAAAGTTGTTGGTACGTTTGACCTTGTTCACTGCATCTAAGACTTCATTAAAGGCTACAGCAATTTTATGGCGATTTCTAGGAAATAACTGAAAGACCAGCCATATAGCTTAAAGTTCTATGGGAAAACAAATATTTAATCAGGAAAAAAAAAGAAGCAAAAGCATTTCATGACAAATTTATGAACAAAAAGACTGACCTCCTGTTTGAAGGAATATATCACTTCATCAGAATATTCTTCCTTGGAAAATACCTTAACAGCGACATCCTGCACAGCAAAGACATCAATATGTTACAAAGAAGAACCAGCAAAGTCACACTTTCCTGGATTTTCCCTCTAGAAAAAAACAAAAAAGCTAGTAGATCCAGATTTCAATGTTGATTAGAAAGAGAGTGTGAGGAACCTCATGTAATATACAACACAAATACTGGCTTATAGAAATTTTAGACTTTGACATCATCCATATGATAGGGCCAAGAAGCCAGAATTAGCCATTGTGGTACCACGCTATAAGCATAAGCTCCCAGAGTAAATGGTAACATACAAATATATATTCGAACAAATGATATGTTTACGATGACATCTAATCAACATTGCAGTATGTTAAATAACTGACAAATAATTGCTTAGAACATAGTTTTCTCCATAAAGTTTAATAACAGAAGGGGCAAAGAACTCTTGGTAAAAAAAAATTAATAATAAGAGAAGAGGCAAAGAACATACTGATCCATACCACATCCCATGATAAACCATTCCACAAGAACCTAGAGAAACACAGATTAAAAGAAAAGTGAGAATGAAGACGTAAAGGAAAAGGCGATGGTTAAAACTATCAAATGCAGCAGCTTCGGAAAGAGATATACAAAAGGTTAAGTGCAATTGACTACAAACTTCTGATTATTGTTCAAAACAGAAGCATCTATAATGGCTGGAAAGAGAAAATGAAAGCAAAATACATCCTTGCCCGATTCCAAAGATTCTACAATCAAGTTTGGAATAACTGATAGACTTGTCTTTGACAGTTTAACCCGTAAAAGGAATTTCACGTACCTTCTCCAATATGTTCTCCAATTGTTAAGTCCTCCCACAAGATTTCATAATCAGGGCAGTCAGTATCTGTGTCGATCTTATTAACAGCACTATTGCTGGTTCTTTCGCAGCTACTAGTACTGCTTGTGCTGTTGCCATTAAATGAAGTAGACCAGGACCCCGAAGCTTCATTGGTGGTTGTCCAGTTAGTATTAATAAACTGATTGTCTGGTTTTAATGCATTATTACTGTTACTGTAATTAAACTCGTTGTCTTGGTCATTGTTTAGCCAAGGCCGTTCAGACTGTGTAGTCCTTGCCTCTGACGCTTTTCGCGCATTGGCTTTCCATGGCCACAGTAAGCTCTTCTTTGCCATCCATGCCTCTGCCTTCGAGGTGATAGTCTTATAAATACCTTGTTTTCCCTCAGTCTCATCCCCAGAGGGTTTCCCCAGGGATCGCTCCTCTTTTGCAAGATTAGAAAATAATCCAAGAGAAGAGTGAACATCTCCCCTACGCGTACTCGCTCCAGTGTAATTTGTGTCCTCCCTGCTATCTGACAAAGCAGCCTCGGAAAATGCAAGGTTAGAGTAATGACTATCTCCACTTCCACCTTCACGAAGCACGCTGCTCTCTCCTGTCTTTATTTTTGACGTAACCTTGTTGCTCATCTTTGAGGCCTGTTATGAGGTTTCGTCATGTCAGCATATGCCCATCCTTGTATACAGACAGTAAAGAGAACCAAAAGAAAGCAAAAGAAAACCAGGCAACTACCCAAAACAAAGACCGTACTAACCAAATTAGATATTTTGGAGGCACTGGCTACTTGCAGAGGCTGCTCGGAATCAAGTCCAAGTTGGGAAGAAGCAAGTTTTCTGGCTCTAAATCCTGCATCAGCATCCAACTGCTTCACTCCCATTGATTCAGGCCTTGTTTCTTGGAAAGGCCTCACATCACTTGTTACAGAAATAACACCTACGAAAGTACCATCATCGTCATAAAAAGGGGTAGTGGTAGCAATGACTAGGAATCTATCCCCTCGCTTATTCTTAACTGGAAACAGTCCAGACCAACACTCACCCCTTTTCATCACTAGATGTACAATGTTATTAGCATCAGCATAATCCTGAGCATATGCTAAGAGCTGAATGGGATCTTGTCCAAGAGCTTCTTCAGCAGAATAACCATATAGTTGTTCAGCAGTTCGATTCCTGTGCAACAATGGCTCAAATCACACTCCTATACTAATAAAATTGAGAAAATGTGACAAACACCAATCAAAGTCTAACAATGGCTCAAATTAAACTCTTATATTAATAATAACATGAACAAATGTGACAAACACCAATCATAGTCTAACTAAAAAGCAAGCTCAGATAATTACAGACACAAACTCAATCTATCCCACCCACTTATTTTCTCTCCCAATTCCGAATGAACAAAAGGAAAAATGGGAAGGCAAAAGATAGGAAGTCTATTTCAATTACTCACCAGTAAATTGTACGACGGTTGACATCAAATATATGCAATGATTGTCCCATTGACTCTAATATATTCAAATAGTGTCTATCAGTAAACTTCACAGTGGCATGTCCACCACCATTACTGCTCTCTCCCTCATCTTTACTACTACTCGCTCTTTGCAATGGTGACGAGTGCCGGAAAGATGTTGACCCCCTTTTCCAGATAGCCACAGCACCGACATCAAAGCCACCACCAGCACTAAAACGAGGAAGCTGTTGTCTCTGTGATCTGTGATCATCAGAAATCGTGAGCTTAGACATCTCCTGCTTCAATTGGGCATGACCTGCCTCCAGTTCTTGGATCTTCTTTAGCAGTTCCTCAGCTGGTGATGTTGGTCCTTGAGCTGATGCTGTTGTATTATCCATTTCAATCCAATATTAAAGATTGATCAAACCCCACTTTAATTCAACCAGTTTGACTTTCCTTCCCCCCAAAGCTCTGAGAAGAACCAATAGGATGTATCTATGACTAATTTTCTGACACCCAAATATATATCTGTGCCGATATAGCCATCCACAAATCAATATCTGCAAACTTGAAGTGCATTTCTTGCTGAAAATGAAGAAAAAGGTCACCCTTTGAGTTCAAGAAGCCACCTTTTCGGCCACTAACAGCCTATTCCTCAAATCATTTCCTGTAGATAGGCTGTCAAAGGTTATTGACGCAATAGATCAAAGTACTTATGTTGGTCACATACTCAGCATAATATGTCGCAACCATGAGAAGCCTTAAATGTTGAACCTACATAAGTGATTCATGCTATATAACCTGGACAAATGCCAGAGTTTTCCAGAATTCTTGGAATGGATCCACATTATAGGAATCAGTTAAGTGATGTCATGCACTTTCTATAGCAACCACATGCCTTAGAGAAGGTGAAAATGTCTTAACATTAGTTCCAATTTTGATGACCTCAGGCATCTCATGGTTGGAGGGTCAAATTAATGACTAGAAAATTGGCCTCATCTTCAGCTATTGTACAACGAGCCTAGATATCTGAATTTTAGGCACTCTAATCTCACCTCAACTTGACTCTTCTTATGCCGACTAAACTTGCAACACATACATTCAGTCTTACTTCTACTTATCCGAAAACATTTACTCTCTAGTGCTTCTCCATAGTTCAAACTTTTGGTTCACACCCTTGTTGGTTTGTCAATTAGCACAATATTGTCAGAAAATAATCGGACCTCATCTTGTATTGTATTGGCTAGCTCATCCATTGCTACGGTAAACAAATACAGGGTTCAATGCTGATCCTTGGTGTAAATCCACTGTTATGGGAAACTCCTTTGTACCTCTTATTACTGTTTTTACGTCAATGACGGCTCGTTCATACATGTCTTTTATGGCATTTATATATTTAACAAGATTTCCTTTCTTCTCCAATACCCACTAAACGAGTTAAACCAGATGAAGCGTAATAAGGAAAAATGGAGAGACTATTTTGATTAATTGATTCAACTCAAGATCTACATGCATCTGCATACGAGTAAAGAGTGCCATGAAAAATATGAAGTTTAGAAAAGCATGTGGTCCAGATAGCATCCTCACATAGGTTTGGAAATGTCTTGGTGAGATTGAGTGGGATGGCTTACCGAGCTATTTAATGCTATACTAAGAAGTGACTCGATGAGTGGAGAAGGATTTTCCTGATTTCAGTTTCTAAGAACAAAGGAGATATCCAAAGTTGTGCCAACTATCGTGGCACTAAAGAAAAAGTTCAATTTAAAATATGAAATAAACTATCTAAGCGCTTGACGCCGCTGACACAAATGGCAGTGCACAATCATCCAAAATTTCTGCTAAAACAAGAAACTTGACTAATGTCAGAGTTCTCCAGAATTTTTGGAATGGATACAATAGGTTTCAGTGAAGTGATGTCACGTACCCCCAAATGCACTTTCTAGACAATGACTAAAAATTGGCCTCATCTGCAGCTGTTATACACCCAAGGGGGTTGAATTTGACCTATCTGGATATTTCTTTTTAATAAGCTGTACATAATTTGCTGCTTGTAGACAGACGACGCGGTAAACTTTAACATTCTCTGAGTTTCTGCAATTAGCAGCGATTGTACCAGAAGACTGAATTTAAGGTTGAGGTAAGCCATTTTCCTGCACACTTTCTTGATGACTCCTGAGTCATGATATTTCCATAAATGGGGCCTTTTATAAAACTAGTAAACTACTATAAGTTATTTTTAAAGTCTGTCCACCTTAGTATAGTGGACTAAATTTTCCAATTTATCTATAGAAATGAAAGTCCGTCCAACTACTTTAAAGGAAGAATTTAGGAATAATACATTCCTCTGCATACTTATTCCAACTGTTGAAGGATGTGAGAAAAGACTGAAGAATATCACAAACACTATTTCTTTAGTGAATTCTTGAAGATAGTTAAGCAAAAAGTTGGTAGAAATATACTGGGGTAAAGAATAATACATAGCAAGTTTGATCAACTAGAGATTTATACTATGTATCAGAATACAAGATAAAAGATGTTCTCGCTCACAGATTTGGAGACAAAGCCCACAGATCCAGGTCTGTAAAACTTGCACTGAATATTGTTATCAATGGTTCCAGCAGTATCACTAATCTTAAAAGCTCCAGCTTGAATCCATCCGAAAGTAGCTTGAAGTCATTGAACAGAATCATGCTAGATTCATGTAGTCAGTCTACCAACTCGACTCCAATAAAAGGCAGCTGCTTTTTCTCTATCAGATTTCCTTGCAATAAAAGCAACCTTAACATTTTGCCTCTGAACTTAGGATCCGACAACACAAGCAGCTCGTGAGCTCTGACTGACCAACTTTTCTGTGACAGACATGAAACCTTGAAGAGTTGGTACAATGCATCTGCTAGCAATCTGACGATGAAACTCAAGCACAAGCGCACTATTTGTATTTACTGTTCCTTATGGCTGCTATCTCCTGCTACATGCTGTCTGGGCCTGAATAACATACAGCTTCTGCAGATCATTAAGTTTCTCCACCAATTTTTTGGAAGACGGGCGAGACCGTGGTTCACTGGGTTTGACAAAACAATTAAGTTGCATATCAGCTTAAATCAAAAGATGAGTAATATTAATGTGATTCAATGCAAAATGATTGCCAGGGCTAGCAGCAGAGTTACATGGTCCTAAGGGGGTTCAATTGAATCTCCTTCGTCAAAACTTTGTAGTGCGCAAATAAGGTAAAACAACTGCATAAGTGAACCATTGGAGGAGCGGTAAAGGTGGCTCAAAATTGCTTTAAGTCATAGATTTGGATTCCAGGTGTGGCATTCTTGCATTTTTTTTTTAAATCCATTTAAGAATTCCTGGATCTGCCAGAGGCCAAAGCAGATGCTTTGCCATTGCAGTGAAAATGCTGAAGTGATGGGATTGGTTTATCTAAAAATTTAGTCTGAGAATCAAATTCAAGTAATACTTATTCGTTACTTGTAAATGAAATGCACCGAACTCGAACCTCCTTTTCCTAAAATGTTCATTTTTAAACATATTAGTAAAACCTTCAATGTTCCAGACTAAACTAATATCATGCAAGAGGCTACCAGGTTATATATTGTCCTTTAATGCCTCCTTTATTTTGATTGCAAAGACGATATTGATTGTGTTCTAATGTCATCTCAGCCTGGATTGCTGAGGACGACTTCATTACAACTTCAGGACAAATTTGAATGTCAATGCAATATGCCTTAAAAAGGCAGTCCGGTGCACTAAGCTCCCGCTATGCGCGGGGTTCGGGAAGGGCCGGACCACAAGGGCCTATCGTACGCAGCCTTACCTTGCATTTATGCAACAATATGCCTTGGTAGTTCCAAATAATAATTAGAATAATTCATAATCTTAAGCATATATCTTAGACAGACAATGCATTCGTCATAAGGCTATTTGCATCAGCAGAACAAATTATGATGGCTGAAAGAACTAAGATGCAAAACCTATTCCAGCAGCTCTCGATAATAGAAGCCCACTGCGGATGAACATCCTTTGGGATATCTAGCCGCTGATTCATGAACCCTACAGCTCCAATCACCTGCAATCAACTCCAAAAAGTTGTTCTTTGTATACCACTATATGAAGTAAAATAACCCACTTCAATCTTTTACGTTTCTTTTGCGTGAAGAGCAGGGGGTTCTTCACCAACCTGAGCTAGATAACCGAATTTAATGTAATGCTGTCCAACTGAGAGGAAGCTGAAAATACCTGCACTGGGTTGAGGTTATCCCAAGGGATTTTTCCAGTGGCAAGTTCCCACAGTATCACTCCAAAACTGTATATATCAGACCTAAATGCACATCCAAAGAAGGATCGATATCAGTTAAATATTCAAGAATCTGCATAAAAACGGATATATAGCATATTTGGCATACTTCTCATCTGAATGTTCACTGCGAAGAACTTCTGGAGCCATCCATTGAGGCTGCGAGAGAATTAAGGTAGAAAGTCAGATGGTCATTTGATGTTGAACCACAGGTGAACTAAAATAGCTCATATGATACAGTAAGAAGAGAATTTCTGAGTTCAAGCTGAATACCGTTCCTTTACCCGTCTTTGTTGCTAGATATGTTTCATGCTTAAGACGTGATAGACCAAAGTCCCCAACCTATTGATATTTGCAGGGTGAGAACTTATTCAACATATTAAAACCTTTTTAGTAATAGACAAAGAGGCGGCTGGTAAG